GTGAGTGTGAGTGTGAGTGTCAGTGTGCGTGTGACTGTGAGTGTGAGCGTGTGCGTGTCTGTGGCTGTGTCTGTGTCTGTGTTTGTGAGCAGTCGCATACTTTCGACGCATCCTTCATCCAAAGCCTTATAATACATACATCCTTATACATTAACGGACCGGTTATTTTGCTTGGAGTCTGGGCGACAGACTCGCACGCGGGCACGCATTGCAAACGTCTGGACTACTTGCTCAAGAGCCTAGCGTTGGCGGCCAAGATTGCTTTATTGACAGGTGCAGTATTGACAGACCACAAGGCATATGCTGTCTGAGGCAGGCACGTTGGGTCCTCCACCGCCCCAATGCGGTGCCCCACCGGGTGCACTCGCACGGACCTTTCAGTCATGGAGAATCGTGGCCGCAGTTGACTCAACTGTGTCTCAACCACTGACCCAGTAGACTCGTACATGTCTGTAGCCTCGTTCCGCAACTCGGTCCCAACAACCCAGGGCCGCCTTCCAGAATCTAAAGGCGAGTCGTCCACAACCTGTACACAATAAACAAACTTTCCTGGCGTAGCGGGCCGCGAGGGTCACATGTGCCTCGAGCAGAATGAGGGCAGTGCCTTGACTGCACGGCTCCGCACAATACGGCCTCCAGCCAGTCGCGCGTTGGCCAGCGGCTGTTGTACCACAGACCGTTCTCATCAAAGTCACTGCAGCACCAGGTCCCTGCACCGAAGAGGCCAGTCGGATCCATGCTCTTCTGGGGCAACCGCACCATCTGATACGTGGTTATCCAGAAAGATGAGCAGTTGCACGGAAGCCTTGGTCGCAACGAAGCATGCTCTTGGCAGGATATCTCTGCCAGTGAAACAGAACGGCGTGTGTGTTAAGATCCTTGCACAGGCATCAATGACCTCAGCACATCGAAAACACAGCTGCGACCCAGAGCTTCGTACCGCGTGCAAGCAAAGCGGCCGCATCCAGCACCTCCAGCGTTCTCAATCCCATCAACTGCGGATTCGCAGCCAGGAGAGACTCTTGCAGGTCGTCTGGAACTTGTGGATTCGTCTGAACCTGCACGTCGAGGGATCACTACCGGGATCCATGCACACAACACTCCCAAGCCCCTGGCCATCCAAACAGACCACGGGAAGCGGACGCAATTGAAACCCATTGACTTGAAGGTGGCTGCAATACCTTCGCTGGGCTCAGATACAATTGTGGGGCACTACGCCCTGCGTGATCCTGCGATGGACCTGCCTTTTCCGGCTTGCATCTTATCGCTGATGCGCACGAATAGGACCGAGGTGCTCGTCACGTTTCGGGCCTGCAAGCCACCGACGATGCCATCCTGCATCGCTGTCACACTGGGCAATCTCTTTCCCCAAAGGCGGGCAGTCGGTATGCCACTCACCTTCACTTCTGCACCGGCCCAGTTGACACAGGCGAGCTTCACGCGAGTGCCAGTGGCATCCACAATCCAGCGCCCTTGAGTCCTGTGCAAAGCCAACAAGGTCCAGCCGAGAACCCAAAAACCCGTCGCTGGGAATTTACGAAATCCGGAGAAGGGGGAGCTTCTTTCCTTTTTTTTGCTGTCGTCGTACCCACGGCAGCGTCCACGGCAGCAGCGTCCACGGCGAACGCTCGGCCCAGAGCCTCTCCAGCCACGTCCCCCCCCGTCGCCAAAAACGTCGTCAACCGCGAAGGCTCGGTGTTGTTTTGCTAAAGAGTCGTGAGTTCCGATGGTTTCGAGATCCCTTTGGAGTTGCACTCGGCTCTCCGATCTCGTGAGAACGCATCTGCCTCTCCCGCTGACTTAGTCTCTCGTGCCACACTTAAGATCTTCACTATCTGATTATCTTATCGAGCAGCAAACACCAAGAATGGAAGACATCAATCACATGGAGAGCTTCTTTGGCACTGCGAGCTTTCGGACCCTCAACCCTGCCCTCAAGCCTTGCCAATGCAGGGCATGAGGGCCATAAGTTACGCAAGCAAGCAGCGGACACTCTGCAGTTGGAGCACCAGCAAACCAAGCGAACGGAATGAGGCTTCAAGCCTCAGCATGCACTATTCCGCTGCCTAGACTGACATCCGTCCTCAGCGGGAGGGCAGGCGGCCACTGCGCCTGCTGATTCACAAGACTCTTTGAACTGCCCTACCGTGATTGCAATACATGCCAATGTTTCTAAGTGTCCCACAAGCTCACTGCCACATCACTTGGAGATGCACACTTTCCACTCTAATCAGTTTTCGAAGTGGCTGGGGGCCTGAAACATCACCTTCAAATCCCGGTCTGTGAGGCAACGTCAACCCGCTTGCATAAGGTATGTGAGTTTAGGATTCCTGTGCTGCCTGCGCTTGCACGAGTCGGTCTGGTTCGCGGTCTCTCTTACAAACTCATAGACAGAAGCCAGCCGCAATCGGCGGTCGAGCACGTGCGGATTGGATCGATGTGTGGAGGACAAGAGCTTGGAGAGGCCCAGGTCGTAAAAACTTGAAGCTGGTGGAGGCAT